CTTATTAGCCAGATTGTGTCCTTCCATCACTGCTTCCCTCAGATTTGATGGAGCCTGAATGTTGACCTGACAGAATTCCAGACCAACCTGGTGCCCTATCCCCGCATCCACTTCCCTCTGGCCACATATGCCCCTGTGATCTCTGCTGAGAAAGCCTACCATGAGCAGCTTACTGTAGCAGAGATCACCAATGCTTGCTTTGAGCCAACCAACCAGATGGTGAAATGTGACCCTCACCATGGTAAATACATGGCTTGCTGCCTGTTGTTCCGTGGCGATGTGGTTCCCAAAGACGTCAATGCTGCCATTGCCACCATCAAGACCAAGCGTACCATCCAGTTTGTGGATTGGTGTCCCACTGGCTTCAAGGTTGGCATTAATTACCAGCCTCCCACCGTGGTGCCTGGTGGAGACCTGGCCAAGGTACAGAGAGCTGTGTGCATGCTGAGCAATACCACAGCTGTAGCTGAGGCCTGGGCCCGCCTGGACCACAAGTTTCACCTGATGTATGCCAAGCATGCCTTTGTTCACTGGTACGTGGGTGAGGGGATGGAAGAAGGAGAGTTTTCTGAGGCCCGTGAAGACATGGCTGCCCTTGAGAAGGATTATGAGGAGGTTGGAGCAGATAGTGTTGAGGGAGAGGATGAGGGTGAAGAGTATTAATCTGTCTGCTACCATTTTACACTCCATTGTCTTGATTGTTTATTTCTGTTCTGTGAAACTGTCCATTGTGGTCCTAAACTGTCAATAAAATGTTTCCATTTTCAAAAATAAAAAAAATAAAGATGTGGTGTACAATTCAGGGTTAGGTATACAGATGTTCATTATGCAGGTACCCCTGTTGATGAGGGGTACCCCTTCCTCCCCTAGCAATTTCTCTCAACTGCCTATCCCACTCCTATATTATTTATTTTTTAGAGTTGAGATCTTGGTCTGCTGCTCAGGTTGGAGTGCAGTGACCTGATCATAGCTCACTGCACCCTTGAACCGTGAGCTATGATCACTGCACTTAGCTTCCAGAGTAGCTGGGACTACAGGTATGTACTACAATGCCTAGCTGATGTTTATTTTTAAAAGTTAAGAGTAAGCCGGGCTCGGTGGCTCAGCCTGTAATCCCGCGCCTTTGGGAGGCTGAGGTGAGTGGATTGCCTGAGCCCGCGGGTTCGAGACCCGCCTGGGCAACTTGGCGAGACCTCATCTCTACAATAAATCAAAAATTAGCCGGGCGTGGTAGCGCGAGCCTGTAGTTCCAGCTGCTTGGAAGGCTGAGGCGGAAGGATCGCCAGAGCCCAGCAGGTTGAGGCTGCAGTGGCCGAAAGCGGCCACTGCACTTCAGTCTGGGTGACAGAGTGAGACTCCAACTCAAAAACAACAACAACAACAACAAAAAGTTAAGAGTAATTGCGGCAAGTGTTTAGAGATTAGACCAACAAAAAATTATTTAAGTAAGAGTATTTTATCATTGATGTTGAAAGTTAATTCGGAGAACTTACAGTTATTCAGCCGGTCTGTGATATAACCTGACTCAGCTACACCTATTTGTTACCAAACTAAGTTTGTAATGGGTTGGGAAGGCTTGTAGGGTCACCCCAGATGCCCCTGCTTTCTTTCTATAATCTGACAAAAAATCATAGAGTGCCTTGACCTCTCTGTGACCCAGCTAGCTGCAGATTTTTCCCAGTAGGCTTCAACCCAAACTTAGGCCTTGAACATTCCTAGGCACTGATAAAAGGTATCTAGGTTGTTGCCCAAAACTCTGAAAGAAACTAGCCCTGGCCCTGGGCCAAATTCCTTAAACCCTCATAAAAACTCTATTCTACTTCCTTAAGTAATTTTTTTTATAAATTAAGTCTTTATAAATTGTTTTTTCTAAATATCAGATAATATGAAAAATAGATAGACATGAAATTTTCTTATATTGTCTGGGTAGAAAATTGTAAGATGTATTTCTCTGACAAATACTTATTGCTAATACTTATTACTAATACAAATACTTATTATAGCCCATATTCCATAATAATTATGATGATTGTGTTTTCTTAAATATCCTTCCTAGAATTCTTAATTGCCTTTGTAATCTTGAACTCAGCAAAATTGAAATATTTAGTACATCTGGAGACTTGTACTGACATTAAAATTCACAGGCAGGGAAAAACAGTAGAGTCATTCTATTATTCTCATATGTCTTCTTGTGTTTTTAGAAGCACATTTGTTTTCTTTTTCTTTTGCTTTTGTGTTGGAGTCTCACTCTGTCGTCCAGGCTGGAGAGCAGTTGTGGCACGCTCATGGCCACTGCAGCCTTCATCTGCTGAAATTCAGGCGATCTTTCCGCCTCAGCCTTCCACGTAGCTGGAACTACAGGCACATGCCACCATGCCTGGCTAAATTTTTTGATTTATTGTAGAGATGAGGTCTCGCCAAGTTGCCCAGGTTGGTTTCAAACCTGAGGGCTCAGGCAATCCTCTCACCTTGGACTCCTGAAGTGCTGGGATTATAGGTGTGAGCCATGGCGCCTGGCCCGGCACATTTGTTTTCTATAGAAGAGCCAGTTAAACATACTCGAAGCATTTAGGCACTTCCCATACTGATGTTTCTTAATCCTGATGAGGAACTAATCCAGCATTCTTAGGTCTTGAGCTTCTTCCTTGCAACGTGTCAAGATTTTCACAGCACCTCAGCTTCATTTGTACCATACAGAACTGCATCTGACTTCATGGTAAACAACCCAGGCAAGTGTTGGTTGGAATCACACCCAGATGTGCTCATCAGCACACTGGAATGCATAATCTGTTAAATCTACCCACATCGACAAATTCAGCCTGATATAAAATAATGTTCCTCTCATCTTGGTTGATCACTCTCAAAAACCCAATTCTACATTTTTACTGACAAAAGTGAGCAAATTCCACAATTCTCTTGGCATGCAAACTCTTCCAGAATTCGACTTTGCATTTATATACTAGAATATTGGGATCCCATTCTGATTACTGGCTCGTGATAAGGAATGGGGCTGGAGGGACGTTATTCCTTTTTTCTTGCATGAGGTCTCCCTCTAGTGAGGTGGTAACAGCTTGTCTAAGCCAGGGAGAAGCCACTTCTCAAGGAAAGGAGGTTGAGAGGGATTAATCCCTAATGGAATGCCAGGATCATAATGACCCTTCCTGGATGCTCATCCCTTCTTGAGTGCTCACTTAACTATGGAATTTCACCTGCTGAAAATAGTCAGAGATAAGGCTCCTCTGAACTTTCTTTCCAGGCAACAACCCAACTGTCCAAATAAGATAAGATATATGCATGATATATAGCGGGTTTTTTGGGTACAAATATATAGTCTATTTTGTAAGAGTTTTTGGTATCAGAGTTGTGATCCAGAGAAGCAGGGCATCTGGAGCCTAGCAAGCAGTTTTTCTCATGCTGTGTTAGGCAGTGATCTACTACAAGTACAGTAGAATGAAATAGTGGTTCCCACACTTGGTGAGACCTGCTCTGTGCAAGTACCAGGTAGGGACCACTGAATAAGTTTACAACTGAGTGCCTTTGCTAACATTCCATTGGTCACCTCATTGCCAAATGTCTATTATTTGGTAAATGTTTATTTGACTCAGTATCTTTGTTTCAGGTGCTTTAGTATTCAAGAAGAATGTACCCTCCTTATTAGCTCTACTATCAGGAAGGGCAGTATGGAGCGTTTTAGAAGGAATTGTCATACTTGCAGCTTTTCCAACACTTCCTGATATCCCATTCAGATGATCAGAGTCTCAGTCTTTCCTCATCAATGACCTTCAATTCAATTATATTAATTTTTTTTTGAGGTCTCACTCAGTCACCCAGGCTAGAGTGTAGTGGCCCAACCACAGCTCACCACAGTCTCCACCTCCTGGATTCAGGTGATCTTTCTGCCTCAGCCTCCAAGTAGCTGGGTCTGCAGGCATGTACCGCCACTCCTGACTGATTTTTTAAAATTTACTTCGTAGAGACAAGGTCTTGCTATGTTTCCAGACTGGTCTTCAACTCCTGGACTAAAACAATCCTCCCACTTTGGCCTCCCAAAGTCCTGGGATTACAGGTATGTGCCACTGTGCCTGGTCTTGACTTTTCTTTTCCTTACAACCCTATCTAGGTGTCTACAAGAATAATAGATTATTTGGCATGATCATAGAAAGACTCTGAGTTTTAGTCCACCATAAAGCAGTAAGTTAAGGATTTGAACTTGGCAGTGTTTTTCTTTTAAATTTTCCATTGTCAGTGTCTATGCCCCACTGTACTAGAATTTCTAATACTTCTTATTCTAGAGAAGGAATTCCTTGTTCCACAGAGTCTTGACTTCTATAAGTTTTTGTGTTCAGTTGACTGTAGTAATAGTGTAATCATTTGCCACCAGATACCAAGAATTTCTGGGGTCCCAATCCAGAACACCAATGAGAACAATGTTCCATCACAGCCAGATACCCAACTCCAGACACCCCATAGTTCCCCGACGGTTGGTTGTTTGCAACACTTGCTTTGCAATTAATTTCTATACCAATTAGCATTCTTTCTTTCTTTTTTTTTTTTTTTGAATAGGAGTTTCACTCTGTCACCCAGACTGGAGTGCAATGGCACACTCATGGTCACCGTATTTGCCTGGCTCCTCCCATACTCCAAGGTATCTGTACCACTCATGCCTTCAACTCCTTCAGGGCTTTGCTGAGATGTCATCTTCCCCATGTGGTCTTCCCTTTAATTAAAATTGTGACCCTTCTGCCAGTCCTTCTTCCACTACTTGCTTTTCCTTGCTATCTTTTTGTTTGTTTGTTTTTTGAGTCAGAGAGTCTTACTCTGTCGCCCAGGCTGGAGTGCAGTGGCACGTTTACGGCCACTGCAGCCTTGACCTGCTGGGCTTAGGCGATTCTTCTGCCTCAGCCTTCCAAGTAGCTGGAAATACAGGTATGCACCACCACACCCGGCTAATTTTTTGATTACTTGTAGAGACAAGGTCTTGCCAAGTTGTTCAGGCAGATCTCAAACCCCTGGACTCAGGCAATCCTCTGACCTTGGCCTCCTGAAGTGCTGGAATGACAGGTGTGAGCCACCACACCTGGCCTTCTTGCTATCTTTGAAGCACATACTACCACCAAGCATATTGCGTATTTTACTTTAATTTTTGTGTGTTTCTTTTCACTAGCTCATAACTCTATGAGGATAATTTTTCCTTCTGTTTTGTTCACTGAGATAATCTCAGCATCCAGAACAGTACCTGGCACAGAGCAAGTGTTTAATAAGGAGTCGTTGAATAAATAAATGAATGGGAACCAGGAAGAAGAGTACCCAGCACAGGAAAATGCTGAGAGGTATTTCTAGACTAATGGTGAAGGTAAATTCCAGGCTGACAGCTCTCTAAGAGGTTTAGATAGAAACTAGTTCCTCTCAGAGTTCTAAGAGGTATGTCTCCATAAAGACAATGAAGCCATTATATAACTTGATGCTTTTGAAGATAGCAAAGATTTACAGTTTTATTTGAGCTTAGAGATAAAGTGATAAGTTCATAGAAAAGCAAGCAAATAAAAATGAGGCAATGACTAACTTTAAGGAAAACAAAGAAGTAAAAGAAAGAAAATTTGTCATAGTATATGACACAGTGGCTTGACTATGAACAATATTTATATGGTCATTAAAATGTAAATACCAAATATTTATTTAAACAAAAATGCTGAAGGAAGCACATAGGGAAAGTAGGTATTGAGGAAGTTTGTGGATGATGTAAGAGAACTAAATTTTTATCTTAC